TTTTTTTTTTTTTTTTTTTTTTTTTTTTTTTTTTTTTTTTTTTTTTTTTTTTTTTTTTTTTTAATCACCTCTATCCCGCGTTCAGCTCCAAAAATGATTATATAATGGCCCGACTCACACGTCAGCCTTTCAACGGAAACTTTGACGGCGGGGACGCGACGGTGCGTGAGCCCGTGCGAAGAGACGAGGCGCGGTTCCGGTCGGCGTGCGTCACGTTTTTGGCGTCACGTTTTTGGCGTCACGTTTTTGGCGTCACGTTTTTGGCGTCACGTTTTTGGCGTCACGTTTTTGGCGTCACGTTTTTGCACAACTCAAAAATCGAACCGGCGGGAGGCGAAATCGCTTACGTTAGGCCAGGACCAGCGCTGCCTCCTCGGCCGAAAAAAAAGTCGATGGCGGCCCTGTTATCGATAGACAAGACTAGACATGGCCGCATATCTTAATCACGCTGTACATCACATTTTGATGTGCAATCGGGCTCCTTCAAATTTTCAGTAATTGACCCGCGGATACGATACAGGAGAAGATGATCACTCGCGAAACTGAAGTTTAACAGGGTTAACAGTTACGGAATTTTAGGAAGCAGTCGGGAAAGTTGGAGAAAATTTAGGGAATGCCGATCATGGTCAAAGAATTGATCGACTCAGAGTACTACGGCGGGAGGAAGATCGAGTCGTCTGGTTATGCTTTCATGGATTTTACTTTTTTAGGAACCGTGAGTTGAGGATATTCCGAAAAAAATTAGAGAAAGAAGGGGAAACCCAAGAATATTAACGCACGTAGTCAAGAATTTTGTGTTTGTTTTTTTTTTTTTTTTTTTTTTAATTTTGCGATTCATGATGAAGAGTTTCACCTCATACCGCAGTGTTATTTTTTTTGGGCCAATTTTTTTTTATTTTTATTTTTTTTTAGGAGCTCCTATAAAAAGTGAGAGTAAACTTGGAGAAGTCCGTAATTCTATCAAACCGGATAAAGTCAGGAAGAAGCCGTCAAATCTTGAATGTTTTTGTTTTGTCGTTATCTTTAGAAAAGTTAAATTCTCAATCTATATTTTCCATAGGATGAGCTCAAGTTTTGTAGCAGATTCGAGCAACTATCCGAAAGACTTGTCTACTTCAAACTTCATATAAGGTTATGAAAATGCTGCGCTAAGAGCCTCGAAAAGTTAAAGTAAAGTCATGCTATTATAAAATCCTAGGATTTGTTTTTGTTTGTTTTTTTTTTTTTATACTTGAAACGAGGGAAATATCGCGGAATTTTGACGTAAGCACCTAGTGAAAATGCCAATTAAGTCGGGGAAATTTAGAGGAAAAGCCAGAAGTGGAACCCCGTTTAAAAGCTCAGCGATCGTTGCTATTTCAGAGGAATCCGGCCGCAAATAGACAAGCTCCAGAACCGCGCTCGAGGTTTCAGACCCTAAACTGCTAATTAAACGGCGGACCGAGCAGAGATTAAAAAGGGACCGATGGCTTCGTGGCGGTGGTGGTAGTGGTGGGNGGTCGATGGTTGGAGTTGTGCTTCTAAAGCGCCGCTAACGCGATTAATCGTAAGCTCTGACAAACGGCGCGGCGAGAGGGCGGCGAGGTGTTTCCGATCGAAGACCGAAAGTTAAAAGCTCGAGACTTGATTGGCGACTGCCGAGGTGTAATCGAATCTCCAAGTTCAAAAACTCGTCGTCAGAGGCGGATCCAGCACTTTGGCAACACTGAATTGTCTCCTTTTAAACCTATACTAAATAATCGATTATTTTTGGAGCACCTGGCCCCTCCTAGAATCGATACATTTCCATAGGTTTAAATGGAGAAAATACAATGTTGCCAATTTCCTGGATCCGCTAATGCTCGTCGCCGAGTTAGTTTTTTGTCGACTGCATGATTTTCACGAATAATTTTTAAAATTTACAACGAATACTTTCGTGATGAGTGAGAGTAAAACGAGAAACGTCGGTAGTTACAACTGATAGTCGATCGCCTCTCAATTTCTTGTAAACGGTTGAAATCGTTTCCTTTGTCGGCGGTTTTTATTGTCATATTTTTTTGAACTTTGTTTTATTTACAGTGGAGTTTCACGGCAACAATTCCGCTGGATCTGTAATAATTATCAATCGCTTCGACGGAGTTCGGTTGTATGCTTTCATCATTTCGACTATCAAGCATCTTATCAAATAAACGTATTTTCGCGCTCTCACCGTGCTTATTGACTCTTTGGTAGACTTTGTCCAGAGACAAGTCTATTCAGAGGCGCTTCCCAAGCTTCGTGCTATTGGATTCCTGCGGTGTAAATACACTGTATTATGAACCCTCCAATACATTTTTCGAGTTTTTTTCGGGAATTAGTCTTCGTCTAATGGGAACCGATGAGTGACGTGTGGAGTAATTAAGCGTGTTGTTCGTAACACGCCAATTGGACGTATTTCTGTCAAACGGAACTATGTGCATTCAGACACGAGCCCTGAGACCCATAGGATATATGCTTGATAGTGCTCAAGTCATAATGCACATAGTTCCGTTCGGCAGAAATACGTCCAATGGACGGTTCCGTATTTTATTTTAAGTTGTTTCTGAGCACACCGCCAAGAATACAACGCGCGGATATTCGCAGTTTACCTTTGTATCTGTTCGTAAACGAAGAAAAAAGAGCTGTCAATCAGATCACGTGTTTTGAAAGTGTGATTGGTCGAATTTTGACGATTGTATGGGCGCGAATTGCCCTTCAGAACTTCATCTAATGGATCTATTTTCAAACGTAATCTATATTCTACCGTACCAATGAAAAACGCCGTGTGAGCATTCAAATGCTGGTAAATTCTATACTTAGAAAATTTATGAATACTTTTCCTCGAAAATAATAGATATGTTTGCTTCAGGTGCGAATGAAATTTGCCGTAAATCGGGAACAAGCATATTTACAAATTTTCCACAAAAAAAAAAAAAAAGCCTATTTTATCACGGAAAATGTAGCAATTTTTTTAATGTCTCCGTAGTGTTTCTCCGTGACACATTAGTAAACTTAAAGTAGTATTAGCACATGTGCTGGTTATGAGGGTATTGTATGCAAGAGTCTAAGCGGAGTCCGTTGCGCACTTTTCCTGCTTGTTTCTGATGAGTTTCTGTTTCTTGTTGCTCCTTGATGAGTATTTAATTGATGTTGTCTTGTTTGTTGCAGTTTCGGGAAGAGGACTGGGGGCAGCGCGCGAAGACCTAACGAATGTTTCGTTCTCGAACCGTCCGAGATGATAGTCGTAAGTACCTTTAAATCTCTCTTCGACTAAGATTTTAGAAAATTCCGTCAAGGTGTACCAATCTCAGTCAGAAGGATGGCAATCGTTTAAAAAACTTCGAGATGCAAAATTTTGAGAAATTATCAGGAAAATAAAGGAATTCGCTCAACTTCTATCAAGGTGGAATTAGTAATTTTCATTCTCCGAGAGTATACATTATGCTAAATCACGTGAGCAATGCAGAATCTTAAATCGAAAATCGCACCCAGTGATTGGCTGGCAGTGCGATCGTAGCTCATTGCTACACCGCAATGTTTCTCCATTTGATAACGTAAAGTGACCGCTAAACTTGGATAATTTTTGACGTGTCAAAGGAAGTTAGAATGTTTTTCAAAAGGTTACTGACTTTGCCACCCTCTTTGAAAAATTCCCCTTGTTAGATGAAATTTCGATCAAACCGCAAGAATTGTCTTTAATTTTTTTTTATTGAATTCTGAATGAACCTATACTTTGCTGGAAATCTCTGAGAGATACATATCACTTGGGAGCCTACTTTACCCCCAACAACTCGAGTTATACGAATAAGGTGTGGAATTCTATCCGTAATAATAGCGTTGCCAACAACTCTTAACATCCAACACCGGAAGAAGAGTTTATTTCGCATTTTTATCCCTCCCGTTGGTTACAATACAGGCAATACAGTTTAGAGCAATACAGGCTCCGGAGTGAAATACACTCCGGATTTCACCCCGAAATTTCTAAGGGTATGAAAATATGGATTAAAATGAATGAAGATTTTCTCGAAATCATGCGGATTTTTTGGTGCCGGCTCTGTTTTCCGCGGGCTTTTTTCCGCGACGTGTCGCCTTGGGCACGGAGCGGAATCCGTGTCACGGTGTCGCGCCTTCCGCCCAGAGCTTTGAGCTTTCCGGGGCTTGCGGCACTCGCTCATTCATCTCTGCGGCCGTGAGATAACCCGCCGGCTAAATATTTCGCTCCTGTTGACTCCGAATCGGCGCTGACGGAAGTATTTCCGACCGGGCCTTTCAAGTTCCGCAGTTGCCAAATTTTTCCGGATTTTCATCTTTTTTTTTCCTTTTGAAAGATTTAGGTTAGTCAATAGGTCCCGGGTTCGAATCCCGGTGGTGGCGACAAATTTTCATGGAACTGACGAGTGGATCTGTAAGCAGAATTCGCTCGGCCTGAATCCGTGAAAATTTGTAAGCCCGAGCATGGATGTCTACCAAACTCCCTGATGTCTTCGGACAATAAATAGTGCCTATAGATGGCTGTAGATTCCTAAAGGAATAGAAGCCACTAAACTCTCAATATAAAAAAAAAAAAAAAAAAAAAAAAAAAAAAAAAAGATTTAGGTTAGATTGTGTCCTCACGTGTTCTTTTTAAGAAAGTTCCCCTTTGCTCCGACTTCTAGAAGACCGCATGTAGATAGAAAATTCCCCGCCCCTATCTCGCAGATTAATGGCGTGAGGAAAATTGAACCGCGGTGAGCAGAAAAGAAGCAAGGCGCATCAGCTAGCCCCAAATTTAAGCGGGCAGTCGTGGCTTGGTTCCTCTGCTGAAAGCGATCCCATTGAAAAGCCTCAAAATAACACGATTATTTTGCACGTGAGGTTTTGCAGCTTTGCAAGTCGCAGACTTTCTGTCACACTTAATTTTTTGAACGGAAAACTACTTGACGCCAATCAGGCCCGCCACAAGGGGGGGGATACTGGGTCCTTGGTACCGGGGCCCGTGATGCAGGTGACAAACCACTACGAATTCATGTGTAACCCTCGTCTTGTAAGGAGAAGTGAAAAAATTACCCTAAAAATTCCGCAAAAAGTGAACAAAGTTTCAAAAACACGCTAGGGCACTATTAAATTTTTCTTACTTTTTTTTAGAGATTTCTATCTATTTATAAGATTTTTAGTATATTTAGAATGATATTTTTAGTAACTGCAATTCATTTTCTTCCGTTGTTGGATGCTAAGAGCCTCCTGTCTGGGCATCCTCGACTTCAATGGCTCACTTCCCTTGCCATAGACGTACTAAAGGGGAGTCCAGGGGGGCCCGGCTCCCCCTAGAATTGAAAAGTATCATCTGCCCCCCTCAAAAAAAAATTTAAAGATGTTTTGAATGCAACAATTCGAAAGTATTTGATGCTGAAAGTAAAAAAAAAAAGGCGTTATTTTCTGCAGAAATTGATGGAAAATCTCCATCATAAGAGCTTCAAAATGCGTCAAAATAGATTTAAAATTTCAAAAATTTCCCCGGGGAGGCCCCCCGGACCCCCCTCTGTGCTAGGGGCCCGGGCCAGAAAACTGGTACCAGGGCCCGAGGTGGGATGTGGCGGGCCTGACGCCAATTATTGAAAACTCGCGCGATTTTTCTTCTCCGTTCGAAGAAAACTCCGCGTTAAAACTTGAAGGAATGGCATCGATTTGTTCTCCTTCGAAATAATAAATCCGGAGCGGAAATCTTCAAACGCCGCAAAGGAGATACGTTTTCTAGCAGTTTCACCGTCGCTATGCCGTTTTCCCTAATGCCACTCGAAACTTTTACTTAGCGTGGGCTTGGAAGCATTTTAATGATCTATCAATAAGTTGGCCGGAGAAAAACTTGCAGAAAAAAATAATCTCCGTCGAGCTCTCGGTCTTGCCTCCGCTATCTCCTCTTTCGATCTGTTTTCTCGTTTTTCCCATTTTTTGTCGGCTTATCTCCTCCGGTATTTTTCCGAGTGCTCGCTCAACTCGAGAAACGCGTTCAACTTTCGGCCAGGAATCGGGCCGCAAATCCAAACAAGGAAACGGTCGGAATCGAAAGTGAACCACGGCAAGGTTTCTGCCGGTGTTCTTGTCCCACTGGGCAACTCAAAACAAACCGAATCTGGTTTACTCGGACACCGGCTCCGCGGCTCCGCCGCGTGTTACGTGCCTCGTGGCGCTCGGCCGTTTCCGAAATTTTGCCCCAGTTTGGACTCGGGAGGTGTCGCCAAGGTCCGGCCCGGAAAATGTGCAACTTGAAGCGGCCGCCGCTCGCGTGTAGAATAAACAATCCGGATCTCAGTTGCCAGAATTTCCGGAAATTTTGAGTTTTTTAGCCTCTTCGGATTTTTCAGAGACAAGTGACCCTCCACTGGCCTCTTGGCGACAGGTGGAAGCTTTTACTTTCGGGGATTCAACACTTCCTTATGGACAATTGAGGCACTGGATGCGAAAAGTGCACTTCTCGATTGCAGTGTTTCAGAATCTCTGTTGCTCATTAATCCCTCGGAGAAGAATTGAATGGGTGATTTTTCTAGAGTCCCTTTATACTGAGAGTCAAGACAATTTGAATCCATTTCTGATTGGTTCCCGTATTTTAGGCCTCTACAGTGTCACAAACGGGAATAAAGATTACATTTTCACCAATTGCAAAGATTATAATCTGGAATGGACCAGGGAATTACGGGTTCGGCAAGGAACAAACGGAATGAGAGGAGGAACGGAGAAAGGCATTTGAGAATGGGCCGATCAAAGATTACGAAAAACGTTCAATTTCTGTAATCTTTATTCCCGTTTGTGACATCCATGAGCCGAATTGTCTTGACTCTCAGCATAAAGGGACTCTAGATTTTTCCAGAATTCTCTTAGTAGAAAATTGTAAAATCATGAGGAATATTCAGTAAAATTCTTAGTGTGATGGATGTATTCACTTTCCTTACAACGAATTGAATATTGGAGGAGAGTCTGAAGCACTGCAACCGAGAAGTGCCCTTTTCGCATCCAGTGCCTCACTTATAAAAGTGAGCAATAGCCATCACTCTTTTTTCGGCTGTTGACCTACCTACATGGTGTATGATGAGCATCGGGTAACGTCACGAGTCAAACGCCCTTCAAACCGCCAACACGTTGTTTACCATCAACCAAGTAGGTAGGTCAACAGTCGAATGTTCAAGTCCCAAGAGTAAAAGCTTCCACCATTGCCAAGATACTAGGGGAGGGTCTCTTGTCTCTGGGATTTTTGATAAATGTTTTTGTGTTCCACTGCAAAGGGCAAAAGCAAGCGGGACTGCTCTAATATGTTTCTATTAGAGAAACGCTCTGCTGTTTCCTATGTAAGCGCAATTTTAAGTTCCTCTAAGAGCATGAGCACCATTGAGATGAAAGAACTCGCTCACCAAAATTTCAACTATCAATTTTGAGGAAACTACACTACGGCTTGAGATTAGTGCGGTCAGTGTGGCATCTTTCGGTAGGATACAACTTGTTAAACTTGGAAGTCATGAAATTGCATGGTTTCCCAGTTTAAGGCGATTCTATCAGCAAGCCTGAAAGAAACCTAGGACGCAAGTTTTATTTCGAAAAAAATTGCTCTCAAGAATTTGTTCAATGCTCTGCTGAGTAACTAAATAATTTGAATGAATAAATTGATATGAATGAAACCCAGGATTCCATTTTGCAACCGATCTCGGTGTAACCATATCGATAGCCGATCGAGAACGGTACTTTTGACTTTTTTCCAATATTTTGGAAGATGATATTTAGCACGAATATTTTTTATGATTGATCCAGAAGATGAAAATTCGATTGTTCCAAAGTAATCCACCTAGTTGTTAAAATTTGAAATATATGCATCGATCGCTCCCAGAACGTGTTGCGCGATAGTTGAAGATTTACCGCGACTTCTTTCTTGGACCGGTCATCATGAGATAGCCGTCGCAAGCTGCTTCCACGTGACAACACTGTCAAGCACTCGGACCAACTCACCGTTAAATCTAGCTTTCCACGCTCAGTCAGTCTCCATTTTTCCGGGCCAAAGGACCGATTCCAAACGAGTTGGCTTTCGACAATTTCCCAGCCAGTTTTGTGACATTTTTTTCGTGCTATGTACACGCCGATCATGAGTCGTTACTCCGGACCAGGGTTTTTTGGCGACAGCCCGCGGTGGTTTTTCGGGGTGGATTTCACTCGGCATCTCGTGGCCTTGGACAGAAAAACTTAACTCCCTGTTTCTCATTTCGTCCGGTGGTAGTTTCCATC